AAAAAAAAAAAAAGGGCTGGAGATGGAGCTCAGTGCAAAGGCCCCAGGTTCAAACCTCAGGACTGCAAAATGAGGGAAAAGGAGAGATTTATTGATGGCATTTTTGACACAGAGACAGGGAGCTAGAGATGGGGATGGGAAAAGGAGACTGAATTTGGGGTGGGGGAGGACAGGAGGAAGCCAAAGGGCGGGGAAAGAAAGGTTCAGCCAGGGAGGGTGACCCTCCCCTCCACCACAGGTTTTGGGGAAGTAGCCAGCGCCCTGAGGAGACTGAGACTTTCAACGGAAAGAGGGAGGAAGTGAATTATGCACAGAGCTGGCTGGCCTGACTCAGAGTTTCCAGAGGTGATGTAGAGTTTCCATCCCTCACCCCACCTGCAAAAAGGGTCCTCAGGAAGGACAGCTGGCCCTCAGGAGATGAGGGACGGAAAGAAATATCTGCAACAGGCCGTCTGTTCTCCTCTTTACTGTTCCCTCCGGGGTCATGTTGGTGGCAAACGCTCTGTATACATCAACCCTTAATTCCGCAGGGCGGGGGAGACAGTATCATCCTGAGTGTGGAAAAAGTTCGGAGGCTCCGAGTGGAGAAACTTGTCACATTGGCGAAGCTGGAGAAAATGAGGATAGGTGGGATTCGAACCCTTGGACCAGTGAGCCCCGGAGCGAGGGGGCCCCGCCTAGGTTTCTATAGAAACAGGCGGCCGGTGTCTCCATAGCAACGCCTTCTTTAAATTCCACCCTAATTTGCCGAGGCTACCTACTGCGCGTGCGCGCTGGCTTACGTCACAGGGCCAGGCGCCGGAAGAGAACTTCACAGCGCCGGAAGTGGCCGGCAAAGGCTACCTCGTGGAGAAGGCGGCATGGGGCAGTCGGGGCGGGTAAGAGGTGGCTCCTGAGGAAGTTAGGAGCGTCGGTGGGGCCCAGGCCGAGGTCGCGACGTCGACTGTTTTATCCTGTTGTTCCCACAGTCCCGGCACCAGAAGCGTGCGCGCGCCCAGGCGCAGCTCCGCAACCTCGAAGCGTACGCCGCGCAGCCGCACTCGTTCGTGTTCACGCGGGGCCGTGCGGGGCGCAGCGTCCGACAGCTCAGCCTGGATGTGCGGCGGGTCATGGAGCCGCTCACCGCCACCCGCCTGCAGGTCGGCACCACCTGCCCTGGCCCCGGCATCACGGCTGCAGAAAGGGACCTTTGTGGGGGCGTTGTCTCTGCCTCTCCGGAATTTGGGGTGTTGCAACTAAGCAACCGGCTTGGGACTTAGCGGGGGCCGATCCCAGCGCCCGGGAGGCCGAGGCAGGAGGTTTGCCGCGAGGTCAAGGCGGGTCTGAACTAAGTGGCAAAGACAAAAAGTACTAGGGTTGGAGGTACAGCGGAAGGTTCTTGTCCTTGGCTTCCATCTCAGCACCTCAGAAAAGGAAGTTTACGTGTGGCCAGCGTACAATGCCGTGGAGTAATGAGAATCGCTTCCGCCCAGGAAAGACGTCAAGTTTTTCCTTTTTGTATCCTTTTTTCTACTCTAGGTGCGCAAGAAGAACTCTCTGAAGGACTGCGTGGCTGTGGCAGGGCCCCTGGGGGTCACCCATTTCCTGACCTTGAGCAGAACAGACAACAGCATCTACCTGGTGAGCGGCCCGCCCGCTGGGCCCTGCCCCGGCCCAGCCCCATCTCTCAGGATGAACCCTGTGCCTCTGAGCTGCCCTGATTTCTGGCTTCAAAGTAAACGCTCTGAAGAGAGGGGTGGAGGTCCCGCGCTCCCTGCCTGCCCTGCACCTTTGCCCTCACTGTCCTCTCCTCCTGCAGAAGTTCATGCGCCTCCCAGGGGGTCCCACCTTGACCTTCCAGATCAACAAGGTAAGGTGGGGGGCAGCTGGGCTCCAGGGTGGCCCGGTCCCAAGTGCAGCCACCCACCCGCTGCCCTCCTTGCAGTACACGCTGGTGCGCGACGTGGTCTCCTCGCTCAGGCGGCACCGCATGCACGAGCAGCAGTTCACCCACCCGCCCCTGCTGGTGCTCAACAGCTTCGGCCCTCATGGCATGCACGTGAAGCTTATGGCCACCATGTTCCAGAACCTGTTCCCCTCCATCAACGTGCACAAGGTGGGTCACCTCTTAAGTGGCAGGGCGGGTAGGTGGGCAGGCCAGGTGCCAGGTGCTGCAGAACTTTGTGGTAACCTCTCTTCACCTCCAGCAATGAAGCCATTACCTAGAGGTTGTGATCAAGGGAGCAGGAGCAGAGGGTTGGTTTTTATTTATTTATTTATTTATTTTTTGTGAAACGGGTTTCCCTCTATAGTTGAGGCTGCCCCCAAACTCGTGGCCATCATCTTGCCTCAGCCCCCTCCCCCCCATGCAGGGATTGTAGGTGAGCGCCCCCACCCCTGCACTGTGGTTTTGTTAGGTTGTGGCGTGACTTTAGGTGTGAAGTGAGACCTTGTACAGAGCCACCAAGCTTCATGTTCAGTGCTAATCCCTGGCACCAGTGGCTCTTGGATTTTTTATTATGAGGTACTGCTCCTACTGCTGCAGTGAGGGTGCTGCTAGCCGCTAATCCCAACAGTCTGGGAGGCTGAGGCCGGCGGGTCACAAGTTTGAGACCAGCCTGGGGAATTTGGTGACTTAACAAGGCTCTCTCTCAAAAAATACAAAGGGATGGGAAAGGAGCTCAGGGCAGTCAGAAGTCCTGTGTTTGAACCTCAGTACTGAAGAAAAAAGTGCTATTTCAAGAAATCTGCCCCAAAACCAGGGTTTCTAGCCTGGGCCTGGGCAGCTCGAGGTTGGCACCAGTCTGTGTGGGTCACCAGTACCACTGCATGACGAGACATTGGGCACTGGGGACACGTACTGAGGTGGCTCTGCCTGTTAGGGTCAGTGGTGTCCCTGCGAAGGCGTTGCAGCTCTCATGGTCCTCCTGTCCTCCAGGTGAACCTGAACACCATTAAGCGCTGCCTCCTCATCAACTACAACCCGGACTCACAGGAGCTGGACTTCCGCCATTAGTGAGTGGGCCTGGTTTTAGGGGGGCAGTAGTGGGGACCCGGTGTGGCTGATGAGGATGTTGCCACTGAGACTGTGTGATGCTCAGTCTGAAGTAAACGCGCTGACACACCACGGGGAGGGAGCGGTAAGAGGACTCTGCCCTGTGCTGTGACCCTGACCCCACCACCCCGCCCCTACAGCAGCATCAAGGTGGTCCCTGTGGGTGCCAGCCGGGGCATGAAGAAATTGCTGCAGGAGAAGTTCCCTAACATGAGCCGCTTGCAGGATATCAGTGAGCTGCTGGCCACGTGAGGAGGGTGCCTGAGGAGGGTGCTGGGCGGGACCCAGGACCTGGGACACACACCCACTGTGAGCCTGGCTCTGGGCCCATACACCCCATCTACACAGGGGCGCTGGGCTATCAGACAGTGAGGCAGAGCCCGACGGGGAGCACAATATCACGGAGCTGCCACAGGCTGTGGCAGGGCGTGGCAACATGCGAGCCGAGCAGAGTGCTGTGCGGCTCACAGAGGTGAGGCCCAGCTGACCCCAGGCCACCATGGCCACTGACCCCTACCCCAGCAGCTGCCTGACAAACCCTTGTCTCCCAGATCGGTCCCCGGATGACGCTACAGCTCATCAAGATCCAGGAGGGCGTCAACGAGGGCAACGTGCTGTTTCACACTTTTGGTGAGGTGGGGAGGGAGTGGCCATGGTGGGTGCAGAGGTGCAGCTGTTGGGCCCCCAGTGAGTACTACGTCCCTCGTTGAGCCCTGTGTCCCCTGAGCAGTGCACAAGACTGAGGAGGAGCTTCAGGCCATCCTGGCAGCCAAGGAGGAGAAGCTGCGCCTCAAAATGCAGAGGCAGGACCAACAGGCCCAGAACGTGCAGCGCAAGCAGGAGCAGCGCGCAGCCCACAAGTGTGTGGGGGCTGGGGGCGGGGGGAGGGGCATCCTCAGCTGCCAGGTGACTGGGTGACATGTCTGCTCCAGGAAGAAGAGTCTGGCAGGCATGAAGAGGGCACAGGCTGGTGCTGACGGGGACAGTGATGCTGAGGACCCTGGGGTACCCCCAGAGGTGGAGAGCCCAGCCAAGCAGGAGGAGGAGGAGGAAGAGGAGGCCGAGTACTTCCGCCAGGCTGTGGGCGAGGAGCCCGATGAGGGTGTGTGGCAGTGTTGTGAGTGGAGCCGCTGGGACCTGAACTGTTCACAGGGGTCTCTGACATGGTATCTCCCTACAGACATGTTCCCCAGGGCCACCAAGCGGAGACGGCTCACCGGACCCCCCAGAAAGCAGACCAAGTCGAGGCCAGGTCAAGGCTCAGGCAGAGGTGTTGGACAGAGGCCACCCAGGCCCCAGGGGGGGCCCCGCAGAGCCCCAGCTAAGCTGGGATCCAGAGGGGTTGCCCGGGACCGTGGCCAAGGCCCGAGGAGACCGCCCAGGAGAGGGGCTTGAGCCCAGCCCCACAGACATGGACGCCCCAGATTGGGGCCCGAGTGGTGCCAGTGGCCCTTGGTTTCCTTTCATAAAGGAGCTGTTATCCCCACCTCCCCTGCAATAAAGGAGCAACCCTGCCTGAGTGTGTACAAGATGGGCAATAGGGAATCGAGCTGCCAAGCCTGGGGCCTGGCTTCCGGCAATGGGAAGGTCCTCATGGGCCTCCCACCAGCGTGGCGCAATGAGGAAGTGGGAGCTGCCCTGGTGCCAGTGCGCCGTGAAGGTTGAGGTTGCTGCCGCCTGCGAGGAGGGAGAGGCCAAGTGCAGGCTGGAGCTGGGAGGTTCACGGGATCCCGCCTGGAGGCCGAGTGTGAGCAGCAGGCAGCATGGCAACCATGGTGCTGGGTGAGCAGTGGACTGGGTGGGCTGGGGGCTGGGCGGGCCTGCTGTGTGGCCCGTTAGTGCTGTGGACTAGCCGGTTCTCAAGAGGGAGATAAGTTAGATCCAGAGTTGAGACAGAACTGTTGTCCCACCCACTATGCAGCTACTGGTGGACACAGGGCACCCTGACGTAGGGGCATCGGGGACTGAAGCCCAAAGATCAGGGCAGGAAGGCCTCTCCTGGCCAGATGGGGGAAGGGGTGAGGCCAGGAGTCTGGCCAGCCCTGGCTGCTGGCCTCAGGTGCAGTGCGTGTCCTGGAGCAGCTGCTGAGCCGGTTGGGGCACAGAGTCGAGGCCCCTGGCGAGGGTGGAGTGGGTGCCTGCAAGGGCTACCAGAACCTGCCTTTCTGTGTTAGTTCACATCTTTTGTTTGCTTTGTGGACTAGGGATCAAACCTGGGACCTTAGCTGGGCCTGGTGGTACAGGCCTGTAATCCCAGCACCCAGGAGGCTGAGGCAGGACAATCATTTTCAGACCAGCCTGGGCTACAAAGTTGAGTTCAAGGCTAGTTAGAACTACACAGTGAGATCCAGTCTCAAAAATAAATGGGGAGGGCTGGGGAGATAGCTCAGTTGAGTAAGTGCTTGCCTAGCAAGTACAAGGTCCTGAGTTCAATCCCCAGTACCACACAAAAAAAAAAAAAATGGGAGCGGCAGGTACAGCAGGCTGGCAAGATAGCTCAGAGGACTAAATGCCTGCTCAGGCAAGCACAGTGACCAGGTTCCATGCCCAGTACTACATGCAACACTAGCCCTGCCCCAGGTGTGCTGAGCTGGCCACCAAGAACTGACAAGGTGGCACACCTATAATCCCAGCACTGGGAAAGCTGAAAACGATCACTAGGAGTCTGAGCTATGAAGTAAGATCCTGTACCAAGTATGAACAAGAGATAGGGACCCACCCACATGCACTTGTGACAAGTTGCCCCAGGGGACTAACTGGTACCCTCTAGGTGGTGGGAGTGGGGCAGTGAAGATGGGTCATTGCTGGAAGGGGCTTTGACTGGAGCGAGCCAGGGGCAGGCCTGTCATTCGTCAGACACTGCAGGAGCTTGGGTCTGGCCTTCCAGCTCTACTTGATAGGAGCAGCAGAGGCCAGCCCCATAGCCAGGAGACCTGTGGCACTGTATCTGGGTTCTGGGACCCATACCAGGAAGGGCTCATAGCCACTGACACCTCCGTCCACAGGTGCCAGGCCCTGCAACTTCTCGGCAGCTGCCAACAGAGAGCTCAGCCACTACCAGGAGAACTTCCTGTGGCCCATCCTGGTGGCTGAGTTCCTGCTGGCTGTGGCTGGCAATGGCCCGGCCCTGCACCGCTTCTGCACCCGGGAGCCCCGGCCCTGGAACCCGGCTGTGGTCTTCTCAGCACAGCTGGCGGTCAGCAACCTGCTGTACGCGCTGACGCTGCTGCCGCTGGCCGCCTACTTCTACCCGCCCAAGCACTGGCGCTACGGTGCAGTAGCCTGCCGCCTGGAGCGCTTCCTCTTCACCTGCAACCTGCTGAGTGGCACAGTCTTCCTCACCTTCATCAGTCTCAACCGCTACCTGGGCGTTGTCCACCCCTTCTTTGCACGCAGCCACCTGCAGCCCAAGCACGCCTGGGCAGTCAGCATTGCTGGCTGGGGCCTGGCTGCCCTGCTGGCTGCCCCCACACTCAGCTTCTCTGGCCTTAAGAGTACGATGGCAGTGGGCAAGTGCAATGCCACCAGACCCGAGGCCTGCACTGAGTGCCAGGGAACTGTGGACCCCCACCAGCTTGGGGCCTACAGAGCCTATGGCCTGGCACTGGCTGGGCTCGGCGGGGCGCTGCCGCTGCTGCTCACACTGGCAGCCTACAGTGCCCTTGGCCAGGCTGTGCTGCGCAGCCCCAGCTTGCGGGCAGCCGAGAAGCTGCGTGTCGCAGTGCTGGTGGCCAGTGGGGTGGCGCTGTACGCTGTCTCCTACGTGCCCTACCACGTCATGCATGTGCTCAACGTGGACGCCCGGCAGCGCTGGCTGGCACACTGCCCTGACTTCCGCAGCGAGGCACAGGCCGTGCAGGAGCTGGAGCTGGTGCCCTACCTCGGCTACCAGGCCATGCGCGGCATCGTGCCGCTGGCTATCTGCATCCACCCACTGCTCTACATGGCTGTAGTGCCCAGCCTGGGCTGCTGCGTGGAGCACCGGGGTGCAGAGGACCAGGGCCACAGACACCAAGCCCCGTCTCCCACCACTGGAGCCACTCCCAAAGCCTCAGCACCCAGGTCCCCGGAGATAAACCTGCGACCCAGCTTATCTCAAGTCACAGGTACTGGGATGTGACGAGGACCCAGCGTGCCAGTCTCTCAGCCACTTCCGCGCCAAAGGTGGGCACTCACAGCGGGTCCAGCCGAAGGGGATGGGACAACCAACAGGACACACAGAGGACACTTTCAATATTTTACTGTCTGTGGAGCCCCCCCACCCACCCACTGTGGAGGCTGCCGGGTGTCACCAGGGGCCTGGATGGCAGGAGCAGCTGGCTCAGTTGGTTGACGGCCTAGAGAGAGGATGGGTAGGGAAGGTGTCAAATATGAGTGGGGAGTGGTCCAGACCCTGAAGGGCACCCCAAGACCCCCCCCACACAAGTGGGACTATGGGGATGGAAGGACAGTGCAGTGACACAGGCCACACATGGGGCTATACTGGAGACTCTGAGCCACACCCTGCCACTGTCTTGGGCCAGACACTGCCATTGGTGCCTGCCTGCCTGCACGCCACACAAGCTCTGAGAAAGGACAATAAAAAAACGTCACTTCACACAGGCTGGTGACTGTCAGAATGATGTGGGCCTATCAGGCCCAGGATGACCACGGAGAGGAGGGGACAGACAGCAGAGTCTTACTTGGCCCACTCCACGTTGAGGATGAGGTGGTCGTAGCCAAAGCCAGACACACCGGCAATGGCACGTGCGGCATCCTCCCGGCGATGGAAGCTGATGAACGCAAAGCCCTGGGGGAGAGGGGGACAGAGATAGGACAGGGATGAGGTGGGGACCTCAGTCAGGAGAGAGGCTGGCAGCCCTGCGCAGCCTGCAACTGCTGTGCACCTTGGACTGTCCAGTGGTCTTGTCCTTGGCCAGGTAGATGCGGGAGATGGAGCCAAAGGGCCGGAAGAGCTCCTGCAGGTCGGTCTCACGTGTGTCCTCGGAGAGGTTGGTGACACGGATGGTGGCATTGTCATCAGCTGTGGGGACAGGCAAAGCAGCTTGGAGAAGGCCCCGCCCAGGCCCCACAAATGCAACACTGGGTAATTACAACGTGCCCAGCGTCTCTGTCCGATGCCTGGCCCGGGCCTTACCTCTGCGGTTGGGCTGCATGGACTCCCCACGGCGGCTGGCTCCATCCCGTAGACTGGGCGGCACGTACTTGCCCGTCTTGTTCTGCGCCGCCTGCACTGGCTCCAGCTCTGGCACCAAGGGCAAGGGCAAGGTCAGGGGTGCCCTGGCCACGGCCCCTGGCATCACTGCCTGGCCCTGAACATCCCTCCCCAACCTCCAAAGCCCTGATGACTGCAATAGCACCACGGTGGCACAGAGGCCCCCTCCAGCCTCCCTGGCAGTGTGAACAGCCAGAGATAGACGCACTCCCAGGGGACAGAAGACAAGACTCCAGGCTTGGAGCACTTAGGGGTGGGATGGCAGGCACACGACTCGGGGCAAGGACCATCTGGGTCAGACTCTCATGGAAGCCACAGCAGGAAAGTCACCCAGACTGGCCACCAGGAAATCACCCAAGAGGCCTGGATGTGGACAGTCACACGTGCATCCCGCAGGCAGACAGGCAGAGGCACACATGCACACACATGCACATACATACACACGCGGGAGGTGTTGGCATCTTGGACCACACACCAAGCTCATGCCAGGTCACTCGCCATCACCAACAGGATCCCAACCCAGTCCCTGATACTGCTGCGTGGGACAGGACAGCCAGTGACAAGCAGGTCCCACCCTGCCCGGCCCACACCTCCCGGCAGCTTCTCCTTCTCGCCGGTGGACAAGCCCAGCTGCTCCGCCAGCTCCTTCTGCATGGGCCCCAGCGTGTCCTTGTAGGGGCAGCGCGTGGTCCAGTGGTCGCCCTTGCAGATGCGGCAGGACACGATCTTCTGGCCCTTGAGTTTGTTCATCGGGTCCTCCTCCTCCTGGCAGTTCAGGTCCTGTGGAAGCGGGCACAGGTGCTCAGAGGGCCTGCGTAGCCCTCGCTGCTCCCAGCCTGCTTGCCACGCACTGCCACCCACCTCTTTGCTGGTGATGAAGGTCATGGAGACATCATCGCTGACCGTGGTGGTGGCCACGTTGGGCCCCGGCGGGTCAAACTCTGAGTTCCCAAACTTCTTCCAGTTCTGGGCTCAGGGAGGGAGAAGGGAGGACAAAGGGGAGTGGGGTCACACCCTAGGGCACCCCAGACACATGACCACTACTCTCAGAGTGTCTAGACCTTGAACCCCATTTCACTTTCTTGGAGTACTGGGAACTGAACCCAGGGCCCTCGCAGCAAGCTATGCGCCCCACCATTTTTATTTTTTTCATTTTTAGTTTTTGAGACATACTCTCCCTAAGTAACAAGTTGCCCAGGCTGTGCTAGACTTTGTGATCTCCTGCCTCAGCCTCCCAGAGGCCTCCCAGAGTGCAGGGACTACAGGCACGCCCTACCACACCAACTGACCCCCACTTTCACCATCCCCAACATTTCTCATGACAATCACAGTGACAGTTCCTAAGCATGTGGTGCAGGACTCGGCTTCATGCCAATCCAGGAAGCAGGGGCAGGTCCTAGGCCCTAGGAGCACTCCAGAGAAGAGCAAGAGGATGGGGGGGTAGGGGCTGGTGTACAGCCAAGGGTTCCTGGGGTACTCAGTGGGGTGGCAGATGACAGGCACAGCCTGTGCCCTGGGAGGGGCCTGAGGCTCAGCATCCTCCTACAAGGCGTCAGCCTGCATAGCAGAGTGAGGACCACAAGCTGCACATGCTGACACGAGCCTGTAATCCCAGCAATCTAGGAGGCTGAGGCAGGAGAATCCCATCTCTGAACCTACCTCAGGAAATTTAGCAAGACCCTGTCTCACAAACTAGAAGTGGCACCAACTTCCCACAAGGAATACAAACATAATGTAATAATATAAACTGAAAAAACAACAACAAATACAGGAGTAGGGACTGAGCTGTGCGAAGGCTCATGGTTCAATCTCCAGTTATATATTTGGTAGCAGGAATTGAACTCAGGACCTTGCGCTTCCCAGGCAGGAACTTTACAACTGAGCTTTATTCCCATCCCCAAACCACAGAACTACAAAAATAACAAGGATGTTAATGTCGATCTACCCCACCTACCTCCGCAACCTGGACGTTTAAGGGTCTCACAAACTGCCTCACACAGGGATTCCCAATTCCTCCGGGTCACCCCCCCCCCGGAAGAACCCCCCAAACAGGGACTAGGGCCTCACTTTTCTCCTCGCAACAGCCTTTGAAGCCTTCCGGGTCTCAATCCTGAAGGTTCGGACAATCTGCGTGCAGGGGAGAGTGGCTCAAGGTTGGCTGTGGTCGCAGGACCAGAGGGTCCTCCTCGCCTCCCCCGCAACGCACACATACATGACCCCAATCCGAGTGTCCCCAAGCGCAACAGCACTCCTCACCCCCGTCCCCATCCCAGCCTCACCTTGAACTTCTTGCCATCCTCATCTATCTTGTACTCCGTCACCGTCTTTATGTTTCCATTGATTACCTCCTTGGGAGGTGGCAGTGGAGCTGGCAGAGGGCAAAAGATAAGGGAGCTGACCCCAGGATAACGGGGGGCTGGGTGGGCTCGGGTGGGGCGAGGCGAAGTCCAGGGACAGGGCGGAAATGGTCGCTCACCTCCAGGCAGGAGCTCAGGCTCGGGGCTGGTGTCGCCAGTGGCCAGGGGGATCCCCTTGAGGAGCTCGCTGGTGACACATTTGTCTGTCAGGAGGAGGGTGAGGAGGGAGGGTCAGCCGGGGAAAGAGAGGGGACCTCAAACTCAGATGGTCTTTGGGACGCGCAGGAAGGGCGGAGAACTGGGCACGCATCGCGCTAGGGGCCGGCAGGCGACCTCCGAAAATAGGGGGTCTCCGGCGTGAAGGCGGGGGGCAGGCGATCCCAGCTGCCCGGGGCCCCGAGGCAGTGCGATCAAAGTTGGCAAAAGGTGGCCCCGGGAAGGCTGGCCACAGCGGGGTGTGGGGGTGGCCACGGCCGGGCCAGGGCTGCCTCGGCCGCTCGCGGCGACCGGCGCAGCGCTCACCGTCCTCGCCCTCCTCTTCCACCTGGTCCGCCCAGCTAGGCTTCGAACTGCGGAACAAGTTTGCGGGGAGAAGAGGGTTGGGTCAGGCGAGGTCCAGGCTCCACGGCCCCGGCTCACCCCGGGCCCTTCGCACTCTCCCGAACTCCCAGGCCGGCTCTCGCGCCCCCTCCGGGAGCCCGGACTCACTCAAAGTCTCCGGTCGGCATTGCTAACTCTTCACTCCACGCAACCCCAGCCCGGGCCAGAGAGCGGAAGGAGAGGGGATCGAGACTTCCGGTGTGTCCGACGTCGCCTAGAGGGGCCGGGACGCGGCGCCCACAGCGCCCTCTGCGGCCGGAGGTGGCGACGCCGAATGAGCACGCAGCGGAGCGCTGCTGGTACATTAGGTGGAGAAAAGCGCATCTCCGAGTTTATCCTGTTACATGTTAAGAATAACAATATAAACTAGGGGCCGGCAAGATAGCTTAGCAGACCAAAGCGCCTGCTTAGGCAAGCGTAGGCAAGCCCAGGGACCGCGGTTCGATCCCGCGCCAGCCCCGCCCCCAGGGCGGGCTGAGCCGGCCAGAATCTGGGGCAAAGTGGCACACGCCTGTAATCCCAGCGCTGGTGAGGCTGAAAACATGAGGATCACCACGAGTCCGAGCCGCATAGTGAGAAGCTGTAACAACCAAGTGCATTAACAACAATAATAATAATATAAAATAATAATACTAATTATGCTTTTAAGACAAGATTTCTCCATGTAGTTCAGGATGACCTTAAACTCACCAGCCCAGGGAAGCATCTGGCGATCCTCCTGCCTCAGCCTCCCAGATGCTGTGATTACAGGCTTGCTACATCATGCCCGGCCTTTCTCTTTATTCCTGAGGCTGTAGGGATGCGAAGTCTCTGAAATATTTTAGTGTCCTGGTTATGACCCTACTTTACTTCTAAGAAAACTTATTCTGGAAGCCAGTAAAACGCAGAGTAGGGGCTGGGGAGATAGCTCAGTGGAATAAATGCTTGCCTGGCAAGCACAAGGTCGTGAATTCAATCCCCGGG